GGATGTGGAGAGAGGTGAATGGGCGGGAGGGCGATTTCTTATAGGCAGACATGACTGCAAGCAATTTTCCTCGAGGCAGGTAAGATGCGATGACATGGGAAGGAGAATAGCACCTGCGTCATGTATGTCGCGAAGTCCAGGTATGGGAAGGGAGGAGCGACGACAATACATTTCAATTCCGACTATCGCTCAACCTTTGACAAGGGTGTGCCCATCGCGAGGAATGACGTTTCTTCCAAGATCAAAGGCCAGACAAGGGAAAGTCAGAAATCTGACCAGCGGAAGAAACAATCGAAATTCTTGTGTCTCAATAAAAGAGAGGATCGAGAGTACTGCCTCCATATTTTCTTATCACAAGCTATGTAGGTGTTGATGCTGCAAGCGTGTGCTAATTCTTTACCATTGCACTCTTCTCCGTGCACTTCTCAGCAGGTATTGAGGATATCTCAACAGGTATTGAAGATAGCATTCGACATATGGACATTCTTGAGAGCTACGTGGGCCTGTCCGTTCGGATGGGCGTCTTTGACATGGGAGCATAAAATTGTTTGGTATGTGCTCGTACATCGTGAGGTGAAATTCGGCTGGAGATCAACAAACCTGAAGAGAATGATTTGGGCAGGGTGCGGCCTCGACTTTGTCGTAGCGTGTACTTCGCTGTAGGCCGGAAAGAAATGATTCGTGGAGGCACTGAGATGAAGCAGGATATGGAAAAGTAAAAGTGAAGTTTCCTCCACAGATGTGTGTCTTGTGTAATCGTGAGGGTCGAGTTCTCTGTTCTAGTACTTACGGTCCAAGCGTCCTGTGCAATCAATTACACATCAGCCGAACCTAGTGTCGCTCTAACCGACCAGTCATACACTTACGTGTCAGCGAGGACATCCTCGGTAGCTTTCTCGCTGATCATCATAGTAGGCAGCACTGGGAAGCCTCCAGGCACCTTAGGAAACGAGCTTGCATCCACAACTCGTAAACCCCTTGTTCCTCTCACTCTGAACTTGCTATCCAGTACGGCGTACTTGTCTCCATCAGCACCAATCCTGCAACTACTACTAGCATGGTGGCTGTAGGCCTGCTCTTTTATGTACGCCTTCTGGCTCTCGATTGTACAGTTTTGCTTCCCAATCACGCCTTCACATGGATGCAGCTCGCGGAAAGGAGCCAACGAGTCAGGTGCCGATGGATCTACTTTCGACAACCAGGAACGTACCCATTCGGCACCCTCGTAGATAGCTTGAAGATCTTCCTCTGCTCCATCTTTGAAGAAGTTGAGGTTAATGGCAGGAACGTCACGCGGGTCAGCAGATCGAAGTTCAACGGTACCCGCTTGGGAGCGTGGGTTCATATGAACCATTGCGCATTCGTACTGCGCTGGGCCGTAGGTCTCATTAAAGTACGGAGGTCGGTTGGGAAAGCTGCTGGTAGGTTAGCGGATGTTCAATAAATTGTGTGAACAGCTGCAATTGCATACCCTGGCCAGAACCCCTCGAAGAGAAAAGAACCACACCACATATAGATGTCTCGGATCCCCAGTTGCGAAGTAGAAGTCTTCCAAAAGTTCGGAAAGACCTCCGACATGCCAGTAACGGGACGATTGCCTAGCGATAAGATACCAGCCTCATAGTTGTCAGCCATCTGTTTGCCCACACCAGGCGAGTCTACCACTGGTGCAATGTTAAACTTGGCAAGTTGCTTAAGCGGACCGATACCGGAAAGCATAAGGAGCTGTGGTGAGTTGAAAGCTCCTCCAGAGATGATCACTTCCTTTGACGCGAACACCTTCCCCGCAACGCCTTTGACGTTGGAGTTGTAACGAGGATCAGCACTGTAGAGACTCTTCCCATGCAGGTACTCAATACCGATCGCTTTTGGAAGACCGAGAGAAGCTTTGTCGAAGATGATCTTGGTTGCTAACGTGTCCAGCGAGATAGTCAGAGGATACTTGCCGGAAGCAGCCGTATCTCGAGCGTAGTAGCCGGGCGACGACCGACGTCCATTGGGGTTGATATGAGAGACCCCTCCAAATGGTCCGACAAGATGATCGCGATCGGATTGAGCCCCGTTCATGTCGCGCTGTAGTAGTGTTGAGGTAGAAGACATAGAGTAGCCCGCAGCTTGCGCAGCTAATCCGCTGAGCTGTTTGGCATCTGCGCTGGTCGTGTAGCCAGGATCCATCATAGTCATATCGAGCCAACCGTCATGACCATGTTCGTATGTGCTGTTGTAATGCACTTTCTCAAGCTTGACAAGATATTTTCTCATATTCTCATGCGACCAAGTGTCGTCTCCAGTCATGTCAGCGATCTCATCCCAATCCGCATCGTTGGGATTCATCGTCAAGCAGCCATTATGCATAGCACAGCCTCCTAGAGTGCCTGCGCGTGGGTAGTACTGTATGTACAGTCAAAAGCCGCGTTGAGCGCATGAATCTGATATACTTACAATTCCCAGAGCGGTAGAGTCTTCGGGGGGCACAGTGCCAACGTAGAAGCTTCCATCTGGCTTACGCCAAGTTCTATGCAAGTATCTTGCTTCCCTGGCTTCGTCATCAGAGTGCTTCACGAAGAAATCCCATCGCTAAACGATCCGTTAATTGTGTGTCGGTCCAATTCGATCACACACTTACTGTGGCCGGATCGTTGCCTGCTATATTGAAGTTCAACCAATTCGAAACGTTGACGTTCTCCGTCTGGTCATCTCCAGCTTCAAGGAGCAGCACAGAGTGACCGGCTCTGGCAAGATTGGAAGCAAGCGGTCCACCGCCAGGTCCAGAGCCTACAACAATGTACTCATAAGTTTTGTTGTCGATCGACGTAGCGGCCAGAGCCTTGACACTCAGTAAAGCAAGAGCCGCGATAATCGACCTGAGAGGAGCCATGATGGACGAGGTCTACGAGAGACTGAATACATCGATAGCAAGTTGAGATGCTCGAGCTCAAGTAGGTTCTCTCTCCAAGCTTGAGCTAACCGGTAGGGATGATCTGCAAATATCGCCGGATATGCAGGCACAGAGCGCAATCAATGCAAGGCTATTAGTCCACCCGACACGACGGCCCGACATAAGCATAGACCCTCTTTCGGCCAATACTGGCGAACAAGATAAAGTGTACAACTCGCGTAACGTCTTCTGCATATATCCCCTAGCCTTCGCCTTGCTAGATTGAGTGCCTGGGTAGGATGGCAAGCACTTATTGGTCCGGCCATACCGTTGCATATCGTGCTGCATGATCGACGCAGTAATGGAATTGTATTGCTGATATCAGCTTCCAGGCTGTTAACATGTCTGCGTTCGAACGGTGAAGCTGTAGACAACAGACTAATTTTACACGCACTGATCGCAGAAGGTTACGGTGTCGGATACGTCCGATGTCCGTAGGTTGCTGGAGTGATTTGAAGTGGGTGAACGTCACTCATTAGCAGGTAGTTTAGTAAAAAAAATCGTGATATGAAAATCCGTGGTGAATTTTCTGAAGATTCTTTACCCATATTCATCCAAAGTTCTGAAGATGCAGATACAGAAACACTTCATGCGCTGTCGATGTTTACCCGTGCTCGATGGATGAACTTCAGCAATTTTGGGAGCCCATTGCCTCTGCGGCTTGCGCATCGACATCGAAGCTCCAACTTATGGAAGCCTGCAAAGCGCCAAAACTTCTAGAAACAGACATGTTCCATAGGCGATGGGGCATTTAGCGCCGCTTAGCCTCAAACAAATTCATCGGTTTCGTCGACCGCCTCATCGTCTCCTACCGCCTCCTCGCCCATACCGTGAAGCAGCTCTTCGTCAACAAGCTGCTCAGACTTGATCTTTGTAGTAGTGGTCGCCTTCTTGGTGATTCGCCCAGTCTTGACAGCTATATGCCGAATCAGTAAAGCAAAATAGTGAAAGAGGGTGTTCGCAAAGCGTACCGCCCTTGGGAGAACCAGCGTCGCTCTTCTTGGTGCGTGTCTTCATCGGACTCTTCACGGCGCCCTCACGGTCCGCTGCTTCATCTTTGAGCGTTGTAGCTTCCTTCTTGTATCTACGCATCCGATTTTCGAGGGCGTGATAGGTCATATCCTCGCCATAGATGCGAGCAACTTCGTTGATGTTGATCTGCGCGACGCTGGGGTTAGTGTGGCTGCTACAGGGAAATAGTGGTAGCTAGTTCCACGTACCTTGTTGTCGAGAGAGGCGAGAGCCGCGATGAAGAGGCGCTCGAGAACGTCTTTGTCATTCCAATTGACCGGCATTTTGGCGACAGCACTGCTGACTGTCAGCAAAGGGTCAGATACGTACACGTCAGTTCGAGCACATTGGGAAAGACCTGTAACGGCAGTTTTGTATAGTTGTGATAGCTAGGAAAGGCACAGGGTGGGGTTGTGTAAACCTGTGTCGAGCTGTTGCGACGACTGCAGGAAACGCGCGCCCGTCGATCGGAGCAGTAATTAATGTAGGAACAAACTCACCTCTTGAAGATAGCGGACGGAGTTGCTCTGTAGACCAAGACGTCGTGGAATGCCCCTGTCAGCGTATTGGGGTAGTCGAATGTCCGACAATAGAAATTGCGACTGCGGATTGTCCGAGATATACGTGGGGGAAAGTGAAGGCGACGTCTAAAAACGGTGGGCCACAGCTCAGTCCACTACCCTTCTCCGCCTTCACACCGCTCGCGTAGTTCCCACGATAGACGTGGTAAAGGCAAACAAATCGCTTAAGCCGCACATGGTCCACACAAGGCGATCTACTACGCGTAATACATGCGTGGAGGACAACAGATAGAACGGGCCGTCTACGAAAGCACTCAATCGGTATGATGAGATGATGATGGGAAATGGCTCCGAGGATCTAGAAATGGTTTGGCTGCGGCAGTCGTTATCGCGCTCTCAAGGAATAATGTTAAAGTCCAGAGTTTCCAAGTGGTCCTCGGCCATGACAGATCATGTTTGATCAGCGTCGTAAGCTCTAGTGCATGGGTCCTGCGTGAGAACTTGACATTATCTGCTCTCCCACTATCTCGTCATCTCCTGACCTTTTTACCTTCAGCTTTATGCCGTTTCGCCTCCTCTCTTGGGTCAATGACCAACAGCTCCTCTTCGTTCTTCCGCTTCCACTCGAGATCCTTCCCTAATCTGTCTTTTGCGAAACTCAACGAATGTGACATCCATCCCGCGTCGTCATCTGACTCCTCTTCATCCTGCTTGTCCCAGGCTTTGCAAGACTGGCAGCCCACTATGAAATGCAAGTCACATGCAGCCTCATCTTCATCATTGGCTCCATTCGCATCTCCATTGGAGTTGCCATTCGTTGCTTCCTCGGGTAGTGTTGGTGTGACGGTCTTGGGGGCTGCGGTGGAGTCGGCTGATTCTAGTTTCGACTTGAATCGGGAGAGGATGTCCAGTGCAGATTGTTCGTCCTTTGCGTTGCCACCAGCCCCTCGCTTCCTTCCTCGTGTTGTGGATGTTGGCACCATGGCCTCTAATAGCGACTTCTTTTTGGCCGGCCCTGTATCTTGGGCGGAGGTGTTTCGCTTCATGGATGCCTTGAGGTCGGCGATCTGCTGGTTGACACGGTCTAGTTTCGATCGTTTCTCAGATTCAGGCGAAAGCTCGCGTGGTGGAGTTTTGGCTTTAGGCTTGGGTGGCGACCGGAGCGCGGCTTTTGGAGCGGGTTTGGGTGACGGAGACCTCGGCGGCGATTTTCGGGATGGCTTGCGTATGGGTATCTCTCTCGTCTCCTCGGGTGCTTTCGACACGGGCTTTTCCTCGCCTGCACTGACCAGCTTGGTGTTGAACTTGGGCTTCTTCGCAATGGGCGCAGAGTCAGCCTCGGCTGCATCATCGCCAAAGCTGAGCACGTTCTTGCCGGCCTTCCTCTTGGGCTTCTTGGCCTTCTTCGTCTCGGGCTCTGTGCGCGCAGCCACCTGCACCCTCTTGACCATGTCCTCGAATGGGTTGATGATGATCTCGGCGCCTGTGACTTTGGTGGGATACATGGGCTGATCGTCGCTTCCGTCCCGTATCTCGGCCTCGGCCATCTTCATTAGGTTGTAGATGGTGTCGCCTGCCACCCGGCCGAACATGGTGTTCTTCTCCTGCAGCTCTGGTGTCGCCGCCAGGGTGAAGAAAAACTGGCTGCCGTTGTCGTCCTTCTTTCCCGTGTTGGCCATGCCCAGCAGGCCTCGCCTCGTGTACTTCAGCCGGCTGTGGAACTCGTCCGCAAAGGGCTCGCCATCGTAGCTGCTCTCTCCGCCCTGGCCGGTGCCCGTGGGGTCGCCGCCCTGGATGATGAAGCCCTTGACCAGGCGGTGGAAGACGGTGTTGTCGTAGTAGCCATCGAGGCACAGCTGCAGGAAGTTGCGCGAGGTGATGGGCGTCTGCTTGGCGAAGAGCTCGATTTCGAGGTCGCCGGTGGTGGTGTGCAGGACGACTTTGGCGGTCGGGTTTGGCTCGAGGTTGTACGTCGTACTCATCTTGGCGGCTGGTGCTCGTTATCCAGAATGCGCCGTGGTTGCGCTCGTGGACGGTACGCGAAGTCGCGTGGAAGCTCGTGTCTCGAAAAAGTTGGCCAGTGAGAGCTGAGCAGTCTCGCACGGGCCTCGGGTAAAGGTGCCGCGACGTCATCCTGGCTTCCCTCTTTACTTCGTATTTCAGCCACACTCGCACCGTCATCTGCACTTTCACCCCTCGAGACGATGCTGATACTCTGCATATAAGACTGCTATTGCTGTCCTGCCATCTGTCCCCTGCACCACGCCATTAGTTCCTGGATCTGGCTTTTCGTCAGCTTGACAGTTGGCATCATGTTGCCCTACATCAACGCACGTACGTATCTGCCAACTAAGCACATACCAGATGTACTGACTACCGTGAAGCTTTCGAATATGTGGCCGGTATACTTGGAAACTCGGCTGATGAGCGTAAGCATTTCCAACTGTTCCGTCCATATGCCTGTTTTGCTAACCCCACCCAGTGAAGCTCGTCTTCTCTTTTTACCTGTCCTATCCCTTGGCTGCTGTCCTAAAAAGGATACCGGACAAGGATCCATGGAAGAAGAATGTTTTCGTAATAAGGTGAAATCCCTCGTCCGTAACATATCACCATCTAGTGTTAACAATGACAGCGTTTCCATGTTCTACCTTGTTGGACTATTTGACCTGTGGTCCGGCCTGCGGACCATATTCATCAGTGCCGGCGGTGCCTACCTCATCTCCTCTAAAGTCCACTCCCCGTACATGCCATGGATCGGCTTTGTCTTCCTTATGGGCCACATGTCGGTGAACCACATCTACCGACAGGCCGTCAACGATCCATCTGTTTTCGACATCACAGGAGCTCAAATGGTCCTGGTCATGAAGCTCACTGCCTTCTGCTGGAACGTTCAAGACGGTCGACTTCCTGACTCTGAACTTAGCGAAGTCCAGCGAGATCACGCTATCCGGACTATGCCCAGCATTCTCGACTACATCGGCTACGTCTTCTTCTTCCCTGCTATCATGGCCGGCCCAGCTTTTGACTACGCCGACTACAGCCAATACATCACCACGACTATGTTTACCCTCCCCCCAGGCACTGATCCATCCAAAGCACCACCAACACGCAAGAAGCGTAAGATTCCTCGCAGCGGCATGCCTGCAATTACAAAAGGTGTATACGGTACTCTCTGGCTTATCGCATTCATTAAATTCTCAAGCTGGTACTATCCAGCTTTCTTCCTCGGTGGCGAATACATGCAATACAACTTCTTCCGTAGGATATGGCAGCTCTATATGCTCGGCCTCACTACTCGCATGAAGTACTATGCAGTTTGGAGTTTGTCTGAGGGTTCATGCATTCTTTCAGGAATCGGCTACAACGGCCTTGATCCCAAGACTGGCCGACCCAAGTGGGACCGTCTCACCAACATTATGCCACTCGAGATCGAGAGTGCGCAGAATGCTCGCGCTTACCTTGGCTTTTGGAACATCAACACCAACAACTGGCTGAAGAACTACATGTATCTTCGAGTCACACCAAAGGGCAAGAAACCTGGCTTCAGAGCTACTCTAGCGACCTTTGTGACCAGTGCGTTCTGGCATGGCTTTTACCCCGGCTATTACCTTGCGTTCGTTCTAGCTGCATTCGTACAAACTGCTGCAAAGAGTAGGCTGCCTGTCATATGTCTAATGCGTCGTATGCTAACATATACCAGATGGCCGCCGTTTGATACGCCCACTATTCATGACGCCCGACGGAAAATCGCCACTACCCTCGAAGAAATACTACGACCTGTTTACCGTTATCCTCACACAGACTGTTTTCGCGTACGTGGTCGCACCCTTCATCCTGCTCGGCTTCTCCGATACCATAAAGGTCTGGGCAAGGGTCTACTTCTACACCCTCATTGGCGTCGCCGCATCCTTCGCGTTATTCTCGCGGTCGTTCCCTTTCCGAAAGCAGCTCGTTCAGCGCCAGTCGGCACGTACACCACAGCCCGCAGCCAACAACTTCGACGACCCTGCGATCGAGAAGGCAGCACGTGAGGAAATCCGAAGAGAAAGGCTAGCAAGGACCAACTCGGCAGATAGTGTTGCAGGCCATGCTAAGATGCCTCTCTTGGGTATTGCAGACGACCCTGAAGCAGAAATTGACGAGATAGTAGCAGAAGTCAAAGCAGAGATCGAGCAGAGGAAGAGGAGGGGTAGTGTGATGCAAGGGTTCGACGTCAAGAAAGCCGTGCAAGAGAAGCTGAAGCAGTTTAACAAAAAGGGGTAGAGCAGGATACACTTGAGGCAATACTTCAGTTACAGAAATGTATACGGGATAGGTATGAGAACGTGGCCGGTCTTGAGCTGAGCCGTTCAATATAGCCTGAATACATATGCAGTAGCAAGAGGTGGTGCGGGCTTATTTCCGAGCTTTTCAATAATCGACCGGACATGACCCAGATCTTCGTGCACGTCCATTGCTCCTGCCCAACTTCAAAGACTCGGGCAGATCATACCGCCCAGGTCAACCGTTCAACTCAGCATCAGATACCGGCAACAACAGAGATTGTCACCTCACGTCGGAGGTAGCGAGTGTCGTGGATCCCAACGTGGCGTGAACTCTATTTCTGCGCCGTCGTTCGGTAGTGCCGGATTTTTGACACCGACGCCGCGTCACTTCAGCGCCACGCACGAGAGCCCCGAGCACTTCTGCACCTGGTGTTTTGGAAGCTCCTGTCACCGAAAGTCTACTTCAACTGCCGAATTGCCATTAGGTTGACAGCCAATCTATGATCGCCGAATCACACATTACATGCGATTCTTGGAAGTTGCCAAAGGCCTAGAACGTTGACAAGTTGGTTGCGCAGATCGGTCCGACAAATCGCACAATCGATCGCGCATCCCGCTGGATCTGAGACCCCCTAGGCGCACATCCGCATGGGGCGCCAGCCGCTCAATGTCAACAACCCAACTCCGTTCATCAGGTTGCAACGCTCACTTGCAGCATCGTCATCTCCGAGGGCCAGGTACCTGGAAGGTATATCCCTGTTCAGCCTACTGTACGATCGCGTTCTTTCAAGCCTTTCTGTCCCTGCTTCAACACTTGGCTGCATTTCACTGCCGGATGGTCAGCTAACGGTGCCCCTTCCCTGGACTGGCTTAATGGCCGAGTGATGCATTCCAAACCATTGCTAGACACGAGGAAGATGTGTAGTGTTTGCGCCACACTAGCCTGATCCGACTCCACTTCCCGAGGACATGCTTCTAGTGTTCTAATTCCAAACACGCCATGTCGCGTGTCGAGTGGACATTCTAGCATGACTACCACATTTCAGTTCCGCCCCAGGATACGGCGAATGCCGAGATGATGTACCGCCGGCTTTGGGTATGATTGGGACCGTGTTGAAAGTGCTTGAGCTGATCCTGCTGCATGGTTTTCACCCCCCACCCCCCACAGTCCGTCTTTGCTTCTCTCGACGATCATCGCATGGACGCTCACTACGCATGACTGCACATTCACTTTGGCTGATAAAGATTGGTGGTCCTCCAGACTGAGCGCACTGAAATGGGTGTGCCGGACAATGGCCCTGTGATTGCTGGCGTAACATGGATGTTAACGGTGTTGAGTGGTGGCTTCTTGGGCATCAGGTTCTACGCAAAGATGAGTCGCAAACAAGGTCTTTGGTGGGATGATTACATTCTAGCCGTTTCTTGGGTATGTTGAGTTTCTGTCGTAATCACGACTTCGCTGACACTTTGCGAACAGGTCCTCCTACTGGCTCAGGCCGCCATCACCCAAGCAGGACAACAACTAGGGTTCGGGAAGCGAACAGAAGATATTCCAGTCAAATATCTCACCACAGTTGCTCTTGGCATGTCCGTTGCTGCGTCGATATCTTGTTTCGCCTCGACTTTCTCGAAGATCTCCTTTGGCGTCACTCTACTCCGCCTCACGACAGGCTACCTACGCTGGTTCGTATGGTTCTGCATCGTCACCCTCTTTCTCATAATGTTGCCAAGTGCGTTGGCCACATGGGTACAGTGCCACCCAATGGAGAAGGCTTGGAATGACACTATCCCTGGGACTTGCTGGGATCCCAGTCACTCCATCAATTATGGGATTTTCAATGCTGCATGGTGTGCTGCGGCAGACTTTGCGCTTGCGCTTTTGCCATGGTATCTTATATGGGGATTACAGCTAAGGCTCCGCGAGAAGATTGGAGTGGGTATCGCTATGAGCATGGGTGTTTTGTGAGTGTCATTCAAATCGCCCTTCTGGTTAACGGCATCAGATCGCTAACATTGGACTTCAGATCTGGTGTTTGCGCAATCGTCAAAGGCGTATATGTAATTCAACTCGGACAGGGGGACTTTTCCTTCAACGGCAAGGAGCTCACCATTTGGACTGCCGTCGAGACAGCGACTGCCATTATTGCCGCCTCCATCCCCATTCTCCGTGTGTTCTTCAAGGAAACGATCTCTTCTTATTCGCGCTCGCATACTCGGACCAACAAAAGCGTGCCGCTGTCGAGACTGAACCAAAGTCAACACTCTGCAACTACCACGACCGTACATGCCATGGGTAAAGGAAAAGAGGGCCACTGGACCGTAATCGAAGAAAACGGAGATGACTCCAGTCAGAGAGGTATACTGGATGATGAAGAGCTGGGAAGAGTTCACCGTATGACAGCATATGAGGACGATCATATCATGCAGACGAACACGGTCACGGTGACCATCGAGAGCGATGCTCAGTCTGACCACAAAGCCAGGTCTTTTCTGGGTATAGCCCGCTGATATTCTATTAATGGAAATTTCACTTGCAATACCTTTCCCGTTCATTCGCGACTTGTCTTTCTCGTCCAATCACCACCAGCATATTCAGGGTTTGAGATTTTTTCGCCTTTCCAGAAAACCCCACGCCCGGCTTTTTAGCCTTATAATATAGCAAGAAATATAGTATCAGCAACAATCCTTCCACCGATCCAAGATTCAGAAGAAGGCGATTCGTGACAGTAAAGGTGGGCAGACAAGAACGAGACTGTGCTTATAACCTTTGAACAAGAAGAGGCGACCACATGTGGGGTTCGTAATGTCCAATTGGATGTAAAGAATTGCATTCTTCAAAACTAAGCACCGGGCATACTGCGTTCATGGCGTATCAGTATTCACTTGGTGCCTTGATCTTTGCTCATATTGCTCGTCTAAATCGCCTTCTCATCCCTATATTGGTCGTCGATATAGTAGTAAAGGCCATCACTACAAAGCCTCCTAGTTAACTCTTCGCACTCAGCAGCAGTTCGAATATCTTCATACCATGCTGACTTTGGTCGGACCTCATTGACTAGCAAAGATATCTGCTGTCAGGTTCTAAGTGTGATAGCCTTTCTTGGATTGTTGATCCTTTGAGGGCGTCATCGTCGTCGAAGGCGGAATTGTGTTTTCGGGCTTAGTAATTGTCCTAATGTCGCGGATGTGTTCGTCGTGGAGTGCGGCCCACGCCTTTTCGAAACTGGCATGGTGGTCTCATTCGGAAGGCCGCGACCAACATGGCTGAAGTTGGTCAACAATAGTAGCACCAGTAAACTGGCGCGAAAGTAAGTATCGCATACGTACTTACTATCGGGAGACGTGTTTCCCTGCGGAACTCATAGTCTTCCTCGTGAGGTCGGCGATAACTGGGACGAAAGTTGTAATTCCCTTGAGCGCTGCCCTTTGCTGATCAATCAGATCTCACTCGGCAAGAACCTGATCGTCCTCCAGCTTCTTCATGCCTGCTCTACACACAGCACAAGATTGACAGGAGCCAGCGTAACTCAGGTGATGGATCATTCTCAAATGAAAGTGTGCGTACATCTAGCATTTGCTGACCGTCCACTCTAGTTGCGGTGGTCGTCAATCGCGAGGTGGCGACACTTCTCAGGCGAGCCTGCACGCCCTTTGGGTTCAAGGACGGTGCAGTGTTCTGATTTGGTTGTCAGTACGGCTAGTTGTCGCTCTCATGCCCTCCTTAGTAGGTCTGATGCTGTTGATACGCTCAGTGAGTCGAGCGGCGGCTATTGCTCCTGGTGCATAAGGACGCTTTCGGGGAGGCGCTGTCTGACGGTTAGCTATGTCACGTGGATAGTCGGACGGCTTATACATAGTAGTGAAGGATAGGCGAAAATGCTCCCATAGAGGTGGTTCATGATGGGAGTGACATGCGGGGTTTTGGCATCCAGCTCTCGTTATTGGTTTGTGAATACAAACTTGGCCGTTGGCTACCTCCTCTTACAAGTCGTAGCTGCTGCTGGTGTAAGGTCTGTCTTGAACAACAAGTAGAAACATCTTTTGTAAGTCACCGAGAGCTCGTGTAACTAGGAGTATTGAGAGACGGCGAGCGACTTGAAAGCTCCGGCTAGCTTCGTCTCAATCTACTTTGCATAATCTCTATCAGCTCTCATATTGGATTGCACCCCACTCACACTTAGCTATAAGTTTGCTTCGATAAGGCTTGCTTGAACTAGAAGTAATGCAGTGTCTTTTAGACCGCCGAGTGCGCTCTGTTCCCATGGAGCCAGTCGTGTGAGGCATATTCATGGATGGGTTGAGGTGCATGCCAGCGTTATTGCACAGCGCCCCCAAAAGAACTACTGCGATATCACCTGAGTAAGTCAAGTAGAAAGATTGTTTAACGGCGCGGTTTTCAGGTGAGCATAGTCAAAGTACTCCATGATAGTCTCGTCAAATATAGGCAGCGGCAGCTTTCGGTGTTGGACAATGTGGAAGACGCTAGCTGATGACTCAATCAACCAGGCGGACTGCAACTACCCCTCAGAAAACGCAACACAGCTCGATCACCATGAGAAAGCAGAAAGAATTAGTGCGAAAGCAGGTCTAGTATGCCAAATAATCTTCAAAGTATGCGGGAGGAACGGGAACGAATGTCTTATGCTTGTGTTCCTCCAATCAGATGCTATACATCATCCAGTCTACACAGCCCTCAAGCACTCATCTACGATGGTGGCCATCCGTAGGCATTCCTCATCGCGCATCTTATTCGTGAAGACCTGGATTGAGGTTGGTGCGCCGTGTACGAGCTCGGGCTCGTCTGTGCGCCGGGCATATTAGCTTGCATCTCAATACCGTGTCGAGCTAGAAGACGGCAACTTACAGCTTGGACCTACTTGACCAGCTCCAATGATCAGAGGCTCGGGATCCAGAGCGCTCGACGCTCTGCCAAACGGCAGGACACAGGCGGGATACTGCACAAGGTGTCAGTAATGCTTTTCTGACGTCTACTGATGCTTGACCTTGACTTACATCCAATACGTTTAGTAGCAACGTATACGGTGGCAACCCGTATGTATCATGCGCAACTGCAGTATTCTGCGCCGACGGTCCGATTACCGCGTCCAGTCTCTCATCCCTCCAAACTTTCCTCCACTCATCCGCGATTGACTGCCTCTTCACATTGAGCGCTGCCAACCTCGGAATGCCTTGCAGACCCTCGCAGTCAGCCAGAAAATCACATTTGAAGGCACCAAACGCTTGCATAGCTTGAATGACTGATGGTACTAGCGGCTCACCACTAGCGGCTATATGTGCTGGGGGATCGTCGAGCCCAAAATAAGCAAACGCGAGCGCTAGCGCATTGGAGACTTGTGCGCGCGACGGCGATATTGGAACAACCTGATGACCCTTGGCTTCCAGAGCACTTACAGCTTGAGCCAGTGCTCTTTTAACCGGTGGATGTAACGGAAACGCTGGGTCTTCGGTCAAAAGACCAAACCTTAGTTTCGGCACGCTCGGCGGTACTTCCAAGTCTCTCCAGGGAACATCTAGAGTAGTGGCGTCGTACATGGCTGGTCTCATGGATAGAACTGACCGACATAGGAGGTTCAATGCCTGGATGTCGTTTGCTATCGGTCCAGCAGAAGGTTCAAAGAAGGTCAAGCCATCTCGGACTGGAGAAGGCTGGCCACCGTATGGGATACGTTCAGTAGAAGGCTTGAAGCCATATGTGCCACAGCAGAGGGACGGTATACGGATAGAGCCTGGAACTTATCAGTGGTCGTCATTGCCACAGACCCAAAGACATTCACTAACCTGCGATATCCGTTCCAATACCAAGTAGCGATCCTCGGAATGCAACGAGTGCACCTTCTCCTCCACTAGATCCTCCTGCCGTCAAAGCAGTGTTATGGGGATTCAATGTGCGTCCGAAGATGTTGTTATGTGAGTCAGCCGTCTATGCAATGTTAGATCGTGATCCTTCTCAAGATCGACGGAAAAGATATAACTTGCCATAAGTGTCTGCGGGATATTAGTCTTGACATATATGACTGCGCCCAGCTCCAGCAGCATATCCACCAGCGGCGAGTTCTTCTCAGATAACTCGTGGTCTAGGAAAGAGACAAATCCGATGGTTGCCGCTGTTCCCGCAATCTGAAAACCGTCTTTGACGCTTATCGGTAAACCATGAAGGGGCCCTACGATGCGGCCAGCAGCTCTTTCACCATCGAGGAAGCGTGCTCGGTCCTGTGCTTCTGGAAAGTACGTTTCGGTAAGGCAAGAAAGCTTGGAGACTATGTTAGCGAACCTGTAAATACATCGAGAGGGGCGCAACGGACCAGCTGCTGTGCCATAGCCGCTCTTTTGGAAAAAGCTATCGTGACTTCTAGTGACGATAGAACACCCTTTCTTAGCTGTTGCAACAACTCCTCAACAGTGAATTTCTCGGTTATATTCAGCTCTTTCTCGCTCATGATGCCCGATTTTCGGGGGATGTCCATCTCGTTCACCCGGTTTGGATGGTCCGAAAGCGGTGCTTGAAGCAGATTCGTGATGGATGCTGGGAGAAGCCATTCTTTTGGTATCTTGTCGCGGCAGGCTTGTTGTTTAGCAGCAACTCTGCTTTCCCATGCAGTGATAGCCATATCAAAGTGAGTAATAGAATCTGAGGCTGTAAGTTGCACTTAGGCACGAGTGATGATATGACAGTGTGCATCGGCACCCCCCTGATTATGTATATGAGTAGTACCCTCGGTTGCCGTGGAATCTAACCGAGGGCCATGGAGGTGGCATCATAATTCCGTCTGCCTGGTAACGTGATAAGGTGTTGTTATCTTGATGGTCAGTACGTACATTCGTATCATGTCTGAGCGGCATTCGTTAGCGTGCCACTACCCCACAGCCGCCAACGCCAAGCCGGGGGGTTGTTCGCTACACAATTCGTTCGATTAGGCCCGTTCACTAGCGGAAACCTGCATTCCGGGGTCGAGGATTGGGATGCGCGGACGGCAACAGAACGGAATAAACCCGCCTGAGGACTGAATATGATATATATATATGCAAGAAGTTCTGGCAAATGATAAGGATGGTAATCGTCCTGCAAGCTCTATGCCTGTAGTCGATATTCTCTCGCAGTGAATCTATCGTAACCAACATCTTTCAGCAACGATGACCGACACGAATTCTCCTAGAGAGGAAGATGAAAACTTCTGGGCGCCTGGTACCATACGGCTGGAGGACAGTAAGACGTTCCGCTTGTCGCCGATAAGACGGCACACTGACAACCCACTTCCAGTGACAACACCGGCATCAGATGTCATCCTCCACCCTGTGCCTAGCTCTGATCCAGATGATCCGCTGAATTGGAGTCGACTGCGAAAAGCCATCAATTTTGGTCTAGTCGGTTTTTTCGTGCTTTGGACCTTCGTACAGCTGCAAACAGGCTCAACATCCTGGGGTTCTCTCATGCGCGAACTGCACTTCTCCGTGGATCAGCTGAACAACGGAGCTGCTATGAGTTGTGCTGGACTTGCAGTCGGCTGTATGATCTTCATGCCGTTTGTACACAAGTTTGGGCGACGGCCACTTTATCTGATCAGCTCAGCGCTGCAATTGAGTTCAGTAATTTGGCAGGCCAAGACTAGGACGTACGGTGACTGGATGGGTAGCAACTTCCTTGCTGGACTTGGGGGTGCCATCAGTGAGGCTGTTGTCCAGATCACCATTGCCGATCTGTACTTTGTGCACCAACATGGAACCATGAACGCGTGGTACCTCGTCTTCACATCTGTAGGTGCATCCCTTGGCCCGGTGGCGTCTGGCTTCATAGTGGAGTCCCAGGGTTGGAGGTGGATTTGGTGGTGGTGCACAATCTTCCTGTCGTTGAACCTCGCGCTCGTGTTGCTTTTCTTCGAAGAGTCAAAGTATGTACCCGTCCTTAACGGCCGCAGTGTACACCATGGTCCTTCTAGCTCAAGTGGACCAGAAACCTTGCACGTCGATTCGGAATCGCAGAAAGTTGCAGATGTCAAAGGGGACACCAAACACAGTAGCATGGAGCGAGTGCAATCTCGAATTGACACAACCTTGCCACGGAAAACATATCGCCAGCGCTTGGCCCTCTTTACTTCTTCCAATCAACCGATCGGCCACCACTTCTACCAGCCAGTCATAGTGTTGACCACCTTTCCAGCAGTTGGTTACGCCGCTCTCACGTATGGCACGGTACTGGCGTGCTTGGCACTAATGTCTTCGCTGCAGGCAGTGTACCTGCTGCAACCGCCGTACAACTTCGGGCCATCTGGAGTAGGACTCATGAACATTGCTCCTTTTACTGGCTCGTTCCTAGGATTTTTCGCCGGCGGCTATTTGAACGACAGATCGATTATGTGGTTTGCGAGACGAAATCGAGGAGTATACGAACCGGAAATGCGACTATGGTTTGCTCTTGCTTCGGCACTGCTGCTTCCAGCTGGAATTTTAATGTTCGGATTGGCGTTGGTGAGAGTATGTTGAGAGCTTGCGATAAACAATGCCGCATACTAACCAACCGTCAGGGCGTGCATTGGATGGTGTTAGCCGTGGGATTCGGCTTGTTCGGCTTCACCTTCGTTCTGGCCAGCGGCATCGCTCTGGCGTATGTGACAGACTGCTATCAAGAGGTGAGTCGGAAGCGTTACGCTTCTTGAGTGCACCACATTTGCTAACGACCAGATGCTCAGATTCTCGGAGACGTCATGATAGGCATCGTCTTTGTCCGTAACTTATTTGCCGTCGTCATTCTTTTCGCAGTCACGCCCTGGACAAAGGACATGGGGCTGCAAAACGTGTGTATTATTACAGCGGCCTTTTGCTTTGCGATTCTGCTGCTTCCTATCCCCTTGCTAGTCTGGGGCAAGAAGATTAGGATTGCGACGGCGAAAAGGTACAAGCGAATGGCGATGCGACAGCCAGCTCATCGAACACTTGAATAAAGTCGATGGTTGCTCGAGGAGGTCAAGCCGAGTTGATAAATGATAGTTCTCACAACGCCCAGATCCAGAAAGGCATTGAAGCATGGCAAGGCGCATTCAGCCGAGGCATACGAAGCCAAACAACGCTTGTATGTGATAGTCTCCATCGCCAGATCTGTTATTGAGGAAACCATGACACCATGTCGCTCCAATGAATTCGATCCGTGTTATCCTTGATCAACCAAAATGCTGTCAACTGTTTCTTGATCTTGGTCCGCCACGCTTTCGAAAACTCGACAACAGCATCAGTTTTTTTGAGTGCCAATTCTCTTTTAGCGGGATCGACCAACTCGAAGCAAGCGAACATGTATGGGACAGTGGCGCCTGGCACTGAGCGCCCGGTGGACTGGAGTGTCAGACGCAGCTCTTCCAGGATTGCATTAGATATGACCGTCCCTTTTTCTACAGCCGAACCATATGGATGTCGCAGTCGGTGTGCAATGAGTAACACAGACCAACGATATAATCTGGCTTGAGCCAGTATACTGGCCACCTCCTCTTGCAAGAAGCGAGTGATATGAGCTTCAGGCATTTTTGGCTCCCACGCCTCAACAGCCATTTCGATCGCGTCTAAAGCTTGCATGATTGTAGAGATATCAACGTGCTTGTCATGACGTAGCGTACTGGTAATTGTACAGACGTCGTAGAGGTACGGTAGCATGGGCGACGAAATGCCCAAGTACCGATCCACAACGTCATCGAGCCCTCGAGCCGTGAATCGTAGAGTTGGTACCTCGCCCCGCAGGATGCACTCTTCGGTCTCGGCTTGGACGAGACAAATTACGAAGGCAAGGCAATCCGGAGTAAGCTCCGTTGATGATTCGTATACGGGCTTGATGAGGTTGAGACTATGTCGACATATCTCTAACGCTTGTCCAGAGATATGTAGCGCAAAGGTGATTGCGCTTACCGAAAGCATCAGAATGGTAGGAAGGTCGCCGAGATCGACAGCCTTTATAGACCGCAAGGTGGAGATTGCAGAAGCTGCGCGCCTGTGGCCGATGATGCGATCCTCATGGTCGGAACCAGGCTCGTACTCGCAAGCCAAAAGAGCTGCAGTGGCCAACAACGAGTCCTGAACCCACACAGTAGCATCGTGGAGTTGTTGCGCAAAAGCTTTGTGATGGGTGATGCGAAAGCTTGAAGCAACCAAGAACTGGTCGATGCGCGTTCTTCCTTGGGAGACGCCCTTGACAAGATGCATTTCCCGCTCGGTCAAGTCCGCGAGTGAAGACGGAGTCCTGGGCAGGGATGCTAAGTCCCAATCCGGCATAGCCAGGCTGGCGGCCGAGGCTGGGCATTGTGGTGATGAAGCAGCGATAGAAAGGCTGCTATCGCTCCGAGCCGTGTGTAGCTGACGCTGTGTACTCTCTTCATTGCGCTGGTACCGAGGTTTGCGGCCGGCTGTCCCTACTGGTCGCAGGGTCTGACATGAGTTCTGGAGTCGGAGGCATCGTTCGCACGCGTCCCGGCCAGGGATGCGCCTACATTTCTCTTTTACGATATGGCATCTGTCGCATGCTCGCCTCGCTGGTGGCCTGCCCATCGCAGACACTTGCCGGTGGATCGCAGTGGATACATGTTCAGTGAACGGTGAAATGTGAACGGCACGCGGGAAGAGTCCGAAACACCGGCGGCGGTTGCTGAGTAACCGGGCCACGTGCCAGCCCTGAGGTCCTGTCGGATCGAGGTTGAGCAACATGCATTGTACAACTACCCTATTGAAAACCCATGGCTATCAGAATCAAAATGTCTCATTGTCATCGTCGCAATATCTCGCCATTTACTCTACATGCTTCAACTATACAGTTCCAACACACAACCTTATCAAATCCCTCAGTGCGCATGCTCTTCACCGCATCCACAGTCGGGCCCAAAGTCACGTCGGGCCTGTCTCGCTTCTTCCTGCCATGGCTGTAGTTTTACAGTCCTTTTCTCTTCCCGTGTCCACTGTCCATGACCCTTCTTCTCATTGAGCTCAACAAGCGCATCGAGCCAAGCAGCAAGCCTGTATCCTGCCTTTGCAAGTTGCTTGGTGACGACTGGAATTGCCGTATCCCAGTACGCTCCGGATAGCTCTTGCGCGAAAACTGCATCAGGACCATCGGGTATGACAGTAGAGCAAACGAATTTGTTGGAGTCGCGCGCCCAGGTCATGGAGCTGCTTACTGCATCTTTCGCCTTCAAGCCCTTGAGCCACGTCTTGCTCTCTTTCTTGAACTTGCCATGCTTTACTTCCGCGGTGAGATTGTTGGCCAGAGCCAGTGCATTGGCCTGAGAGAAGTTGCCGTATGCCTTTTGCGGAATCGCTGTGTCCCAGATGGAGTGGAGATTTGTGCGCGCGCCGTTGAAGGTGACGTTGATGAGGTTGCCACCCACGGCGATGTTCTCTACATGTAGGGGCTGGTGAATGTCACCAACGAAGTGAACGACCCATTTGAGTGCCTTCTGCTGCTCGACGATGCCGACCGACTTCTGGAAAGCGCGGCTGGAGTAGTTGGCAATAGCAGAAACAATGCAGCCTTCTTCGGGACAGTCTCGCTCGAAGTCGATGTTGCAGCTTTCAGGCGGGTTGTCGAGAGCATCAATGTAGTGATAGACGGAACTGAACTGTCCTCCAGCCTCATAGCGGTAGCTGTCGGCCCAGGTTGCTACGTTGGCTAGGTATGCGGACGAGGTATCGTTCAAGAGAGTCTGGGCAAACTTGGCCGTCTTGTGAGAGACGAGGTTTTGCGCCATGTATGCGACCGCGGTGTGGCCAAGCGATCCCCAAGCTGAAGCATAGGGGACAGCCGCGAGGAGAGGCAGAAGTGTCTTGGGTGGCGCCATGTTACGACCTTGGTCTTGACTGGCCTGTGATGGGACTTGTTGTAGTGAAGGACAGGAAGGAAGCTTGGCAACATTCACATTGAAGGGAATGCGCTGTTATAAGCAACTCGCGATGGCAATTTGTATCAACCAATGGTCCCGGCGGTATCGGCCATGCCCGTTCCATGGCTGCGGTGTTGGATGAGCGATGATATGCAGGTCTGCGGAGATACTAGCCCATTTAGGAAGGTTCTACGCTCAGACAGGCAGGAGCTGGGTGGATATCTTCAACTTGAGCCTCTCGACAAGAGCACGTTGTGGGTTCTGATTGGACGACAGTAATGACACAACGGAGATAAGCATCAAGAGAGAGTATGGGCAAGGTAAGCAGTCTCGTCAATGTCTAGTGCATGTATTTACAAAACTAACGCAGACTACCAATGCACCAACGATAGCTAGGGTATCTCAAAACCATGAGTATTCGCCAAACGCCAGATATAAATGCACGTGTTCACGGTGGTGCTTATTGAGCAGCCTCCCCTGGGTTGTTCTCACCGTTCCTGTTCACGTCCGTGTCCAACGGTGCCGCATCTTCAACAGGCTCTTCCGCAGGAGCGGGAGGCCCCTCAAACAGACGAATCCACCAAGCGGGTGGGTATAGAGGGCTGTGGTTGTGGTGGAGCGGCGGGTAGATGTCGTTCAGGTAGTACCATACTGAGAATGATTAGTCGACATACTAGAGCGCAAGGGAGGGTGACGTACTATGGCCGACAACAATGCCGCACATCTCGTCCTTGGGTACCGTCCCGTGCATGATGAGCGAAAAGGCCAACAGCACCCAGGGCAAGTACGGCGCCTTGAAGACCAAAAGTCCAAGGAAACTAAGCATTGTGTCGGGGTTCTTTCTGCTCCAGATGTAGATGAGCGTGCTGGACAGAGCGGAGCCGAGGAAGGCCATGGAGAAGATGGGCGCAATACAGAGGAGGAGGGTGGAAGCGAAAGTGAGGAGCCATGCGAAATGTGCCGTCGAGCGGCCAGACGATTCCTCGAGTAGTCGCGCGTATCGCTGGAGGAAGAAGATGTGGTAGAGGAGGTCGAGACTGAGGGGGCCGAAGTAGAAGAAGGTTGTGAGTAGTCTCCAGTACTATTGGACATGAGTACGAGCAGCGATGGGTAGACACGGCGATGAACTGACCTGGCTCTTGAAGAAGACAGTGCGCACACTGTAGAACAGCTGGAAGGGCGAGATGATGTGGCATTGCACCAGCACACTTGCACTCAGCGCCGCCGTCATCCACCAGCGCGTGCACACAGGCATCTCATAAAACCATTGCTCGAGCGGAAAGCCTCCGGCCCCTCCTCCCATCATGCCGTCCCCTCCTTGCAAGACGTTGGCCATGGCGGGTTGTGGTAGGGATGATATGGAATGTGGAAAGACAAGAGGAGCAAGCAGGTTCCAGCACCTGCAGCCAGATATAAAGCGAAGGGACAGGTGTCGTCGCTGCGCAGACGCATTCACTTTCCGAGACTCCGAGTGACAGATGGACCGACCCCATGTGGCTACGTAACTTGTCCGATAGCCTGCCAAGGCGCTAGTCCAATCAGCACGCGATTGTGCCTTCCTCGTCCCGCCGAACATTCGACAGGGTCCAAGCTCCTTCCCTCGGTCGGTGAATGCGGACCAGCCACAATGCCCAGCCCCTCGCCCGGGTCGCGTCAACTGCATCAACGCGAAGACGAGCAGTGCGCCCGTGCTTCACTCCATCCTCATCGCTATTCCTGAAGCAGACACAGCGCGCAAGACTCGACAACCCGTCCCATTCCATCCTCGTCGCGCTTTGGGGTTCGCGACTTTTCACGACGTGAACGCGCCCTGACGTCTCCCACCGCGGGCATTCCCTCGACGCATCCATCCATATCCCACTCCAGCCATGTCACCCAAATCTCCAACAAGGCGCAACAAGGCGCGGCCGTCGCGGGGCGGAAGATCGAGTGTTGGAAGCAGGAGGGACTCGGGCAAGCGACGTACGTTCTGCGCCTGACTGACTGACTGACTGACGAGTCTGCGCAGCCGAGCTGACATGCGCCCAGTTGGACAAGCAGGACCTGCTCCAGACCGCGCGAAGAAGCGCTACAAGCCCGGCACCGTCGCTCTCCGTGAGATCAAGCGCTACCAAAAGTCGACCGACCTGCTCTTGTTAAAACTCCCCTTTCAGCGCCTCGCAAGTACCCATCACCAGTACGGCGCCGAGACACCCAACTAACATCTCTCCAGGTCCGCGAGATCGCACAGACAGTCACAACCGAGGACGGCCCCAATAGGTGGCAGAGTCAAGCCATTGTAGCCCTCCAGGAAGCCACAGAAGCCTTCCTCGTGAACCTCTTCCACGACGCAAACCTTTGCGCTATCCACGCCAAGCGCGTCACCATACAACAGAAAGACATACAGCTCGCTCGCCGTCTGCGCGCAGCTTGGGGTGCGCCTGTCTAGGTCAGGAGAGGTGCATTTTGATCGATACCCAATGTTTCGTTGAACTGGAACCATTTTGGAAATTGGACCGTTGCTTTCGCGATTCAAACTTTATCTGCATATTCGCTGGGGTGTTGTCGAGGTTACAATTGCGACTGGCGTTCCATGGCGCCTCGGGAACCTGAAGGAGGCCTGTATTATTGAACGTTTTTGCTCTCATTGCTCCCATCCTAGCGTCGGCACCAATTGTCGGATTGCTACCATATATCTTGTATACAAATCCATCGGTAAATCTGAACACCAAAAACCGCGTCAGGCAGGAAGACGCCAACAGAGCTCAAACCTCTGCATTGAAGTGGGAAAAGATCTTGCATCATGCGATATGCCACGCTCATAAGCTCTAGTGACATTGGCAATGCGCCGGCATTGCTTGAGCTGCTTACGCCATGACTGGATCTTGGCCTTGATGTTAGTTGCTGCATACAAATGGTGTGATAGATTTGAGCCGTGTAACTTTGCAAACGAATCCAATGACGCTTCCCGTCTTGCTCTCCTTGCTCGAAACTTTGGCTATCTTATCGCCGCAAGCCTCACCACCTTCCTTATGCGCATCCTAGCAACGATCCCATTACCCCACTCAGCCGGTAACCCATCAACCAAGACGATGCCGAATAAACAAGTGACGAAAAGCCTCCTTGGCAGTCTTGGCTACGCATTCTTCCCCGCCCATCTCACTTCGCTAAAGGTAATTCGACGTCATGAATGGGCTGCCTCAATCCCGCGCTGCTGCAACAATACACGCGCTATAGCTCAACCAGGAAGCTCAATACCTGATATGTAAGCTCATGCAAGCTGGTACCCAGTTGATATGCAGCTGGAATCAAGTACGCAGAGTGGTGCGACCTAGTATAAAGTTGGGCTACGTACCCTCCAAAAACTATACGTACCAGGAAGTGGGGAGGAAAACCTCTCTGCACTTTGACTATAATCATAATGGGCGCATTTGGACTCCCGTTGCTCGGCGCAATCGGCCTTTTGAGCGGGGTTGTCAACGCCCAATTCCCTCCAAAGCCAGAAGGATTGACCATTCTGGAATCGCAGCTTGATGAAGGAGTCAGAATCTCGTACAAGTAGAGTTGCTATCAGTCAATCAGTCAGTTGTCAGTTCATCTTTGCGGTTCAAACTGTCAGTCTGGAGGTAGTGAACTGACCTGATTGACTGCCAAGACATTTTTTAGAATCGCGAACTGAGACTGAA